TGCTTGGCGGCGGCGTTGCCGGCCCCTGGTGCTAGGCCTAAAATCGTGCAACGCGCTGGGGTTGCTGCCGCAGGCCATGGCGCTGGCTTCGCCATGGAGTGGAGGTCAATGCCGCCGACTCTGCCTCATTGGACATCCGTTTCTCCAAGGAGCCTTTTCGGACCCTGCTCCAAAATCAAGCTCAAATTAACATGCGTTCCGGAAGCAAATCCCCAAGGCACGAAAGATTGTTGAGGGATATTTGGGGTCCCTGACACCCCCCATCATGAGCACGGACTTTTTTGAAAACTAGCCCCCGAGGCCCAGCTGGGCCCGAGCATCAATTTGTGCAGGTCGGAGGGGGTGCTGGAAGTCCTCAGATTGGAGAAACGAGCACCCAATGATGCTGATGATGTTGGACCCCTGGGCCAGCATCATCAGCATCATTGGGGGCGCGTTTCTCCATGAAGTGGTGCAGGGGGCGGGCTCTTGAGCGCAGCCCCTTAATCCGGCCCTGCCGCTTTGGTCCAGGGCGGAGCCGATGTCTAGAGCTTAGCTCTATAGGGGGTGGCGCCGATGTCCCTCCGTTTCTCCTTGGGCCCCTCCCGGACCCCATTCCACAACCACTCCGAAATGCATGTGCCTTTTGAAGCGAATCTTTTGGGTCCCCAAGAACCCCGAAAATCTGTATCATGAGCACGGGATAGCACGGGCCGTTTTGAAAACTAGCCCCAAGGTTACTCTTGGGGTAGGGCTGAGAAAAATCTTGATTTTACGAGGGGTCATTGGGCGCATGGGAGGCCAAAAATGGAGAACGGACTCCCGATCATGCTGATGATGCTGGCCCCCTTGGCCAGCATCATCAGCATCATTGGGGTCCCATTTCTCTTTTGCCAGGCTTCTAGCCTGTCTGTGCCCACTGGGCCAGGCCTGATGGGGGTCCTGATTGTTGGATGTTGGAACTATGGAGGCTATCATGAGTCTTCGCGAGTTCCATGGTGGGTTTGCCATGGGTATATTGATGGACGGGGTGATGGGTTGCAGGACTCATGGTGGTTTATGCAGGTTTTCTGCGGGTATACCTGTTTTATGATGATTTTATGATGGTCCGATGAGGTTTGTGTGGGTTTTCGCGGCCTCCCCCTCCCTGCCCACCCAGCCATCATGTGAAAGCCAAGCCCATGCTGATGCTCCTGATTGAGAGAAATGTACGAAAAACTTATGTTATTGCTACCTGAGATGTTTTTTAGGTTTGGAAGGTCCTGTTCTCTCTAGTGCTACTGAAAACGGCCCAAAATCAGGTCCCAATTGTGCTGATGATGTTCCTGTACGAGGCGAGGGGCGCGCGCGCCCGCGCGCGCCTTGTACAGAAGCAGCATCAGCACAATTGGGAACCCATTTTGGCTTGATTGGGATCAGGAGGGTCAAGAGCCCAAGAAAAACTATCAAAGTACGAAGGCGGCAGGGCCGGCCCCTGCCGCTAGGCCTAAATTGGAACTTGCGGCACTCGCGCGTTTCAAGAAGCTGCACAACATATGCTCCAGTCCCATTTCCTTCCTGCCTTCCTTCCTGCCTTCCTTCCTTCCTTCCTTCCTTCCGGCTGCAGCTCGTTTATTATCGACCTCCCGTTCGGCAATTTTGACTGGCTAATCCTTGCCTGACTTCATACTGTTTATCCTTTGGCTTTTCTATCCCTATCCCGCTCCTGAGGGAGCTTTGCTTCTTTTTGCACATGCCCAAACCCAGAGTTTATCGGTCTCACCCTTGAGGACCGCAGCTTGGCACCTCCTCTGAGTCTCTCATGCAAAACGGAGCAATGGCTTGAAAACATGTAGGGTGCAGGAATGTCCATGTGAGAAGTGCAAAGTAGATACGCAGCATGTGGGTATAGATTCTCTTTGGGCATCAATGATTCAAACTTGTCAGCCGCCATAATTATGAGCATCCTGCATTGACAATATTATCTGCATGCGCATCAACATTGCATGCCAGCTTCTATCTTTAGCATCTACAAGTAAGTTGCCCCGCTTCGAAGGTGGCTTCCACTGGGCAAGTGCAAGCTGCGTATACGAAGTTGCCAGATCATGAGAGTCGAGTAGCGTGTCGGTGCTGCTACAGTGCAAACAGGCGTCAGCTTGATGATGTTGAGATAAGACAATGGCACTTCACAAAACAAAAAAAAATGACGTGTTCAGTAAGCTCCGGCACACACATTGCTTGAAAGGAACCGAAGAGTTTTGGAAGGCCTTGGCACAACCAAAGCTCCTCGGCTTCCACAGGTTTTCAGCACGAGGAAAGGCCTCATGACGTCCTGCGTCCAAGACAGATCAGAGCCTAAGAGCCAATGACTTCTTGAAGGGAAGACGTTGCTGCATGGTAGTCTCCTGCGCAGCAACCGCCGTCGCTGCCTTCAGGAGGCCTTGCTGAAAGCCAAGCCCGGACAGCATGCTTTGCAGCGGGTCCTGCATCTAAACACATGATGCCACACGATCACGAAAGGAACGACTCCAGGTCACTCCATCCTTCCAGGTGCCCAAGGTGGATTGACCGAACTCGGCACAAATCCATTTGAGGCAACGCGGCAACGACCTGAAACAACGGATGGCAACCACCAGGGCCATAAGATGCCGCAAGCACCACACCACACATGACAGGCTTGGCAACAGGCAAATAAGCAAGAACAGCAGTCATGGCCTTCAGGCTGCAGACATTTGCATACCCCTGAGAATCTATCTATTTGTTTTGCGGCCTTGGATGCCAGCTCCCGCAGGGCAAGGCCTAAGCTGAGTCTTCGACCTTGCGCTGAAGAGCAGTTGCTATGCAAGTTTTTGCAACTTGCGAAAGAAAAGGTCGTGTTGTGAAGCGCAGTCTGAAGAAAGCTTATCTAAGCTTCACACGCTCGGACAAGCCGACACTTCCTCCAAGCAGGCTCTCCTGCTTTCATGCAACAGGCACATGTGCACATACTGCCTGTTTTTTTGCCTGCTTTCGAACGGTCAACCCCAGAATGCCAAACCACAGCTCCTGCACAAAGGCCAGTAGAAACAGCAAATGGACATGTTGATGAAAGAGCTCGTGGCTGTCGTGGCGTGTGGTGCCTCCAACTCGGCTTCCGTCATAATGTTTGAGTTCCTGGTCAAGGTTTTCTCTGTTCCTTCCGTTTGCTCGTTTCCCTGATGCCTCGAAGTGAGCTCGTATGCGTTCTGCAGCATGTTGACACACTTCTGGGCCTGAAAGAGATGGGCCAAAGAAAAGCAACATTCACCCGAAAACCGCTGTGGGGCGAAAGTTGTTGGCGATGCGAGCTGATGCGAGCTGGCTGCGGCCTCGGGGAAGTTCTCGTACCAGGCCTGCGAGGCCTGCTTGCTCGCTCCAGCACGAGAAGCCTCTCTTTCAGAGCTTGCTTCGTGAACCTCCGCATGTGGTTTCAGCGGCATCAGCCAAATCAGCCAACTTGCGCCTCACTGCTGAGGAGACGTTTCACAGCCTTCTCAAAGCCAGCGGAGAAAGTGTGTGAGCAAACTCATGCGAAGTTGCAGCTGTGCAAGCCTTGGATACGGAATTGCGATCACCAAGTTGACCAGCGAAACACCTGCACTCATCAAGCTTGACCGTACCATCTTCGCCCTGACTGCAGCAAGCGCCGCTCTTTGGCGTTTTGGCAAGCTTTGCTTTCTGCTTTGCGACCCCATGAGAAGGAAAATCTAAACTCATTGTGCTCAAATAAGGGATGACCAACGACTTCGCTCCTACTTTCTGGTGGACTTGCAAAGCTGTGTTCACCTTGGACAACACAAGAGAATACGACCTGACAGTCCACGTGCAGAACAGGTCCACAGGCTTGCGTAAGGGATCATGTTGCATTCTTGTTGAGGAAATCGGGTCGCAGACGCACAAAGCTTCTCCATGGCATCACGGTAGTCGTTCAAAACAAGCCTCCAGTGGCAGGATAAGCAAAGCATCACTGGCAACCTAGATGCTAGCCCGAGTGCCAAATCAAGAAGCTCCTCTTTTGTCCGATGCGTGTGGATTTGTTTGACGGCTGATAGTCAGCCGTGTCATCCGAAAGACTGGGCCAGCTCTCTGCTGGCTGTGTGACGAAGCCATCAAGGCCTACTTGGACGCTAGCTTTGAGCTAACCTCAGCCCAAACTTCAGTGATTCCCCGACCTCCGTCAACTTGTTTGACGATGCCCTTGTCCTTGTAGTGCTCCAAAATTGGCAGGGTCTGGTTCTTGTAAGCATCCAGGCGGGTCTTCAGAGCTTCGGCTGTGTCATCTGATCGCTGGTACAAGGGTTCTCCGGTAATGTCATCCTTCATGGACTCCGGCAAGGGCTTGCCATTAGGACCCAGGTTCATTGACTTTGGCGGGCAGGAGCGCACATGGTAGGATCGACCACTGGCCTTGTGCATCCATCGTCCGCAGATGCGCTCTTCTAGCATCTTCGGATCTACAGCGAACTCCAAAATGAGCGACACATTCTCCCCACTCTTGGCCAGCATGGCGTCCAGCGCCTTTGCCTGAGCAAGCGTCCTAGGGAAGCCATCAAGAATGAAGCCGGCTTTGCAGTCCGGCTCTTTGATCCTGTCTGCAATGATGCCAATCACAATCTCATCGGAGACTAAGCCTCCAGAACTCATGATCTCTTTGGCTTTTTTCCCGACTTCTGTTCCTGCAGCCACGGCCTCACGGAGCATGTCACCAGTGCTGAGCTGCGGAACATTCAAGGTTTCCACGATCTTTGGTCCCTGTGTGCCCTTGCCAGCACCAGGGGCACCGAACAACATCATGATCTTGCGAGGCCAGTATTTCTCGTACCTGTCGGAGGCAGCCTCACCATGCTGTTTGCCAAGGAAGTAGCCCCCAGCAGCACCGGCAGCCAATCCTCCGAGCACAGCAGCACCGATAGTGCCCGGGTCGGTCTCGCAACGAACCGTCGGCACCACGTGCTTCCTTTCAGGTGCCCACAGTGCCAGCCCTGCAGCACCAGCACCGGCGGCAGCACTTGCCGCTACACCTGCACGCAGGCTTTGACCACGGAGGACACTGCGGAACATGACGGCAGCCTAGGCCCCAAACCAAAATTTCCTTCAAGTCCTAACAAGCTCGAGTAAGCCAGAAAGCCAAAGGCAAGCCCTACGCTGTCAGCGTAAAGTCTCACATCTCGATGCACGGAATGCACTTGGGCATCCACTGCAGGACACCAGCAAAATCCCCGGTGCGCTCCAGAAGGTGCACTGAGGCATCAGTGACATGATACCTCCGCAAAGGGGTGAGAAGAGTAAGGCACAACTTCCCACCACGCGCCTGCTGCAAAGCTCCAGGCATTCTCGGAGTGGCAAGGCCTGCACAGCTAGTCATGGAATAAAAAACCATGGCTTGCAGGTCGACACCAATGGCCCCCACAACGGTAGCAGCGGAAAGTGCAGGCAGGGAGGTGATACTTTCTGATTGGACAGGTGCAAAGCATTTTCGCAGTGAGCCACAGGTGGTCAGTTCGTGAAAAAATGGTTGAAGGATGTTGAAGGACACATCGCCCTCGCCACGCACCACAGGTCTAGATTGAGCATGATTGAGCCACGTGAGCAAGGGGCCGGTCGAATCAAGCTCGACTGTGCAGGGCAGGATAAGGCAGAGGCAGATTCCTGCCATTAAATCCAGGAGGCTTGCACGAGACTCATGAGTTTTGGATGGGTTTCACTGAAACCCCTCAAAGACTCTCAAATCCTCTGCCGATACATTGCCCCGCTTTTGCTTCTGCTGCTCGAAACCTGGTCTTGGCCACCCCCACCGTAGCGGTTAATTCAAAGCGCTTGAATTAAGAAACCCAACATCGAGCTTGACAGACGAAAAGAGAGAGAGAGAGAGAGAGAGAGAGAAGAGCGCCTCGTTCTCGAGGATGAATGGCAGGACGGCTTGAGGGCAATTCTGGCATAACCTTACAATGTACATGCGCCACGTCTTCCAAATCTCAGTCAAATCTTCCGAGTGGCAGGTCGATGTAGTGCACTACATGTTCATTGAAGAACGCCTGGAAGCTGTTGGCGTTACGGGATTTTTGCATCCTTTCTCCAGAACCTGCCGGTCCACAAGGCCGCAGCGGCGGCTGAACAAGGCCTGGCGCGCAAAACCGTAAAAACTCCTTCTCAGCTCATGCGTTGCAAGGTGGCTGTGTGAGGTGCCTCAAAGTACTTCATCTCCATCTGCGGAAACTGCTTCAAACGCTCAAGCCTCGAACGAACGATGGTTCGCAATGCTCATCGATCAAATTGAAGTTGGACAGAGCCACCGGCACAAGTGAATGGTTTACAGTAGCAAACTGCTCGCACAGCATCAGCGAGCAACGCTCTTCATCAACGTCCACCAAATCCTCGACAGCTTTGCATCTCCCAGAAACCGCAAGTCAAGGATACCCACCTGGAGTCTGTGCAGGGTCGCCTCGACAAGAGGAGCACCGACCTCCTGAGTGCTTTATTCCACGCGACACAGGAGATTCTATTTTCTGTGAGCTTGCGGCATCAAGCTTTGTGATGATGTATTCGAAGATTTGCTCACGGAGCTCCGGCTCCTGACAGGCCCATCCATGCCCTGCAGGTTTCCCCGCGTGATGAGATGATATGAGATGCAGATACAATCCGAATTGCAATAGTTCAAGTTGAAGATGCAACTCTTGGCACTGCGAATCGAAGCGGCTGCAAAACTCCTGAAGTCTGCAGTCCAAGGCTTTGCCAAACTCACCGCGCCTGGCATCACAGCGTTTCCACTAAGCTGCGCAAGATGACATGCCGCCCTACCTCTCGTGTAACCAGGATGCTAGTCCCAGAAAATTTGTCATCGCCTGATGACAAAGGGCAGGTATGCACTCACACTCCCTAGCAACATCTCGGACGCATGCACGAAATGTCAGAAAGCCTTGGAAATGATGGCATCCAGCTGGCTGTTCTCAAAGTCCTACTGAGAGACAAGGCTGGAAGCAAAAGGCATCTGCACACGTTCGTCCTGTGTGGCCAGCACGCCGATCAAGAGCTGCTCCGCTTCAGACCTTTGCCTGCTCCCTGCAGTCGTAGGCTCATGCTCCAAAAGTCCATCTGTTAGGCTCAGAATTTCATGCACAAAGGCAAAGACCTCGCACTGGCCAGGACAGCAAATGATCCACCACCTTCTAGGCGCTTTTCACAAGTTCCCAACCCACACGCCACACACACACAAACAACATGTCGTCATGGCTGTCTGGAGGCCTCTGTGACCTCTTGGACGCTCAGTTGGGGCTTCGCACGAGGCACCGATCGAGCGATGAACCTGGGACGCCATCCATGAAAAGAGAAGTGAAGTCTTGTGGAGGTCCGGCCACAGATACTCTTTCTGCGCGTGCGCAGAGAGCGGGATGCCTTCCTTATTTCCATTGGGAGTGATGCTGGCAACTAACAAAACAAGCTGACAGTTACTACACTTGCCTTTGCAGCATCCAGCGACTTCCTCAAGGACGACAAGCAATCTTATTCATTCTTGAGGGCAGCCAGCTCTGTGCTCAACAAATCTGAGACCAGGACTGAATCAAATGAAACAAACTCGTTAGACTGTTGGCCTTATGGGAGCTTGGGCAAGCCGTTTTCGTCAATATGCGGTGGTTGCTCAACCAAGAAACGATGCGGCATGCTGTTCCCCTGAGTCCTGTGCTGGTGCACCACTGGCTTGGTCTTGCACAGCGCGACCTATGTTGGGGTGCAGATGCCAGGATGATTTAGTTGCATGTCACTATCATGGCATCTGAGCTACTTGCTTCCGGACGGTGATGTGAAAAGCAATGACAAGGTACGAAAAAGCCCCAGTGATGACAAACGCAGCCTTGGGACGATACAACCCGCTTCCAAGGACAGGCGCAATCCACCGATCCTTCTGGGGCTGTCCCTGCAGTCTACAATGCTTCCTGCGAAGAACGATCCAGAGAGGTTCCCGAGGCCCCATCTCCTCCTCCTCCTTCGACCCCCATTTTCATCGACAAGGGGTTTTTCTTTCAGGGACCTGAGGACGTCTGGGCATCAGCAAGAAGGTAGAATTGATTTTATGTTGTCCCTTCTCCCACCCCTCGTAATCTAAGGCCCTTCGCCACTCTCTCACTTTCCCTTTCTCACGACCTTCCAGATAAGGGGGCTGTGGTGCACTTCACCTTGAGCAAGAAAAAAGCCAGGCATTCGCATGTGTCGGAATTTTGCAGGATTTCCCCTCCAAAGCCCAACAGTCAATAAAATTCGGCCCAACCACTATTGTACTGTGTCACCACGGTGCCGAAGGCAATACCTGGGTAGCATCTTTTGGTGGTTGAATGCAGTAAGATCTCTATTGGATACTATACCCCGAAAGGAGGATAGCATCTTAGTCTTTCTCTTTATTGGGTACCATAGCATTCCTAAATATCATACTACCGCTCGGGGTCTAAGTCATCAACATAAAGAAACTCAACTCAGTAAAAATTCAGCAGCGATGTTGCAAGACTTCCTGAACCTTCTGCATCCTTGCACGCCCAGAGTTCTGTGCCATGTTCAGACGTTACCCAGAATGTTAACTGTCTTGGCTTTTCATGCTTGTGACACCTAAGACTTGGGGGAGAGGGACTGGGACGAAAGCTAGAGCAGGATCTAACTGGCAGAATCCAGATGCGCACTCTTTTTTTTGAGAATGTCGGCGTTGGGGGGGATTAAGGATCTGCAGCTTGCCCTACTTGCCCCACTTGCCCCGCTTGCCCCACTTGCTCCACTTGCTCCACTTGGCCCACTTGGCCGCCACTCCCCCCCTAATGTGGCTCAACTCCTGCTCCGGAGGCTCCAGACAAGCCACTTGCCCCACTGACCCCACTTGACCCACTTGCCACACTATCGTGGGGGGAGAAGTGAGGGGCCCAAAACGAACCCCAGCCCACTTGCTACAACCCCCCCCTGTATTTGGGGAAGTGGGCAAGTGGGGCAAGTGGGTCAAGTGGGGCAAGTGAGGCTAAAGATACTGACATTTCTAACTGTGGTCAAGTGGGGCAAGTGGGGCAAATGGGGCGAGTGGGGCAAGCGGGGCAAGTGCCTCCAATGTTCCCCCCCTGCAGTCGCAATGTTCTTTAACTACTGGAAATGAGGAAGGCTACAGGACCTAAGGTCGCAATTGACACCTAAATGCATGGCACTCAAATAGCACGCATTGTACATGTAAGCTCATGTAGTAGTATTTGCTTATGACTTTACCTACAGTAACTGATCTAGTCCTCGCCAGGAGTCTGCTATACTCTAGCAGATACAATATGCACGTATGCTCAAACACAAACATGGGCCGAAACTAGACAATGGAGGTCTATAATGGCAACTAAGTGTTCTTTATGTGTTCTTTTGAGTAGGATACAGTGTTCTTTATGTGTTCTTTTTGTGTTCTTTATCTGTTCTTTTAGGGTCCTGTAAGGGTCAGAATACGACCCGCTGGTGCAACGCACGAATCCCTCCCTGCCCTGCTGTCTGGCTGAGAGAGCCCTCAACAGGTGCCTACCAGATGGCGGACCCAGCCCCCACACCCCATGTTGCAAGCTAACACTTGATCAGAAACTCAAGCTAGACCCGGAGGCTAGCTTTCGTGATAAATCCGCAGGACCCCCCAGATGCGAAAAGCCACCAAGGTGACGCAAGGCCTCGCGGCGCCTCGCGTCACCCAGGTGCCTTGGGCATTTCTGCTACCCCAAGTTATGTAGGCAGGCTTTCCTTCAAGGCCCAGTGTCTGCAGCGAGGCAAGCATGCATTCCTGTCAGAAAAGAACCCCCCGACCCGGGGATCTTGCAGGAAGCCCTGCGAGCCGGGACCACCACGCAGGAGTAAATAGTCCTCACAAATCCAGGAAACACCGATACTCACGTCCCCAATGCTTGATCGAATTTAACAGGGCTTGAATTTAAAGCCCAGCAAAGCTCCAACAAGGTTGGAGGGAAGAGAATGACAATGGACGCGATACGCCGAAAAAAGAGCATGGGAAGGTATTTGGAGAGCTTGTGTAGAAGATTTGGTTGGGTGCATTTCCTCAGCCAGAACATTGCGGTGAGTTGTGCTTGTGCACATCGCTGGTGCTGGTGTGCTTCAGCATTTGAGTTCTCTGATTTTGTGTTTCCGCACGTGTGTGGTTCCGAGATTGGTGTGTTTGAGCTTCTGATAGCTTCTGAATTATGAGTGTTCGTTTCCGAGTCGGCGGACAAACACGCAAAAGACCTATCTATCCGACCTCTGCAGAAAATTGGTAACACACATCTGAGCTGTCAACAATCGCAGAAACATCGGAGGAGCCTGCCCAAATTCCAATCACTCACTACATTCGCTGACATTTTTCCACTCCTTCTGGCTTGAGTCGGTTGGCGCTTTGAAGATGCAGGAAAGCCTTGTGCAAGCAGCAAGTGTTACGTGTGGAGTTTTCTTCACATGGCCATGTCAGCTTAGGTGAAAACAGATCTGTGATCGCGTTTGGAGGCACAACTGCATCCTACACCAGAACAATACTTCTCGGGAAAAAGAACCGTTGCCTCGTGCCTTCGAATCTAGCGGAAACACGCGAAGCTCGAAGCATTGATGCAGAAAAAAGAAAAGCCTGGCGCCCAAGAAGCCAGAAAAACTCTTCTCTCAAATCCTCATCTCGCTGCGGGGGGCTGCGCACTTCCGAACCAACCGGCACTGCAGCAGGGCAGCCTCAGAGAAAACACAGAAACACATAGACAAGCTGCTGGCGCAGCAAGCGCAGCTGCTGAGGTTTCTGGCTTCTTCTGGAAGCGAGCTCGACACACATGCCTTTGTCAGCTGGATGCATTCGCCGACCTGACAGGAAGCACAAAACTACGCGCTGCCCCTCATGCAACGGGAAAGGGCTAGGCTGGAATGCCCCACCCTGACTTTTCACACCGACTCCCTGACCAACTTACATCATCTTGCATTGCAAGGTGTGTGTGTGTGCCAGGAATTTGATCACGCATGCACGACGTAGAATTGGCTTACGAACGCTGTTTTGAAATTCCTTGCCAAAGGCACTAATACAGTTCTTGAGACTGTCCTGCAAGAGGCTTGTGTGAAGCGGCACTTCGTTGCATGTGCGGCCAGCACGGTCCTTGTCGTAGACTGCCTGTGTGTTCCGTCGCCTTTTGCTATGTAGCACATCTTGTGTAAATGGGGAGTCATTGAAGGATGGATGAGAGGCATTGCAGCGGAAAAGATCTACTTTGTTAACTGCTTCATTCATAGATAAATTCTGAAACAAGAGCTGCGTTCATGCCGCCTTACGAAGGCCATGTGAGTTTTTGTTTTTGGGTTCTTCTGTGGCTTCAGCTTTCACCCTGCGCCACCCAAGTTTAGCCATCAGCGCGTGCTAAAAAGTGGGTCTTGAGACGACCAAGAAGCGAGGCCTTCAACGTGGTTGTCGGCATCTTTGGAGATTTGCCTAGTGTCCCACGGGTATGGTTTGCTTGTCTTCGTTTTATTTGCAACACTTGTTGCAGACGGGGGGAGAGCACGCAAGGAATTTGGAGATTGCAACGGGGCTTTGGCAGACCCCGGATCTAGTTCATGCCTTTTCGAAAGGCTTGAGGCCTGAGGCAACTTCAGCATGCTTGTGGCATCAAGCAGCTGTGGACGAATGACAAGACCTGGTATGGCTAAACAGTTTCAAAATGTTTCAAAAAGCCTTGCCGAGCTTGTATGCACAGCTTGCTGCAAGCACATGATTGTCTGCTAATCCCAGCATGTAAGTGATATGATCCGGGCTGCTCTCTCACATGTGACATTGCATGTTGCTTGCTTCCCTTTTCCAAGGCGCGAACCAAGAGCTCCAGCGGCGACACATAATCCCCGAGAGCACAGTACACATGCACCTCAGTGTGAGCCAGATATTTACCAACAACTGTGCTGAGGAGAATCGATTGGGCAATTCCCGCCAAGCCAACCCTGCATCCATTGTTCTCACGGCTGCAATAAGCGTCTCCAGTCATCCCTATTGGACTCATCCGCATCATCCTGTAGACTATGTCACACTGACCGAAAATTCAGCAATCTAGGTCTTTCACATGATCGGGAGTCAAGTGGCACCGCACTACATGCGCAATGCAAGAACTAAGAAGGTCATCATACACCTGCCTCACACGTGAGCTGCCTGCATCAGACCCTTTGGCGTTCCATGCTGTTGCTTCTCCGAAACGTTCTGCGTGCTGCTTGCAACGAAACATGACATCCACTTTAGCCGGGCGCCATTCCGTTGATCGTTTCTCGCATCTAGGGGAAATAAGGATTTGGAGCAGCACATGACCTATTTAGGGACCCTAGCAAGGAATGGCAAGCGAAACATGATCTTACCAATTATCAGGGATCCTGTCATTTCGAGGTTCAGCATGTCTCGTCCAGACCATGCAGCCCTATACAAGCCTGGAGCACGACCTGCCTTCCTGGTTCAATCATAGCACCAGTTACAGGGGTGTACCACACAAAAGGGCATGCCAACAATGCACGACGAAAAATTGGTGTCATCAACAACATGTGCCTGCAAAGTGATGTCCCAGAACACAACCAACCTGCCCAGTGATTCCCTGCCCCCCAGGTCCCGTAGTTTGGCAGGGCCAAAGAAACTTACAAGCCAGCCAAAGCAAAGTGCTGCCCTGTATGCTCAGGATAAAAAGCAAAAAAACTTTGTAGATGGTGAGGACAAGCCCGTGACATGAGGGCACGCATGCTCAAAAGAACACACTTCAGACCCCGGCCAGCGCAGTCCACAACCTGCCGGACCAAGGCACATCGCAGCGGTGACAAGGTACGGCCTATGACTCCCAAATCCCAACAAACATCGCCTGTGGTGGGTAAAAAGCCGAATCGCCAGATTCAGATCCTGGCGAAGCCAACTTCAGCACTAATTCAGAGCAAAAAACTCCAACCAATACATTAAGGTTCCGGCAAGCTTTGCAACGTCCACACACAAGACCAGCTGTTCAAGCCTGCAATCGAGGTGTGTTCTGACGGCACTTCGACGACACAGCACGTTTGCCCCAACCTGCGAGCCATCGGAAAAAGCTCGGGATAGTGGTCACAGTCAACAAATGCACTTCTACCACCTGCAGGCTCTGCAGGCTCTGCAGGCTCCGGTTTGCCGTAGGGACCCTCCAGATAGACTCAGTTTCAAGCTGTCCTTGGCCTGCTTGGCCGCCTCCAAATGATGCCGGCTCACTTACAACCATTCTCTCACAGTGCGGCCTCCTGCTCTTCCTCTTGCAAAGGCAGGGTGTAAGATTGCAGGATGCTGGACAGGACCTGCAAGAGATCCAAGTTTAGGCCGCAGCACAGTTGCTTGTATCAGCCTCTGAATCCATTTCGGCGCGAGGTATCCTGTCAGAAGAGCAACTGGCAAGACCAGCAAATGAACCTAATGCCTTCATCCGAAACTGCCTGGACTGAACAGCATCCTGTGGTTTGTTTTTTTCTACTTGGGTGACTTATCTTTTTCGCTGACAACCCTGCACAGTATGTCGTCCAAGCAAGCTGTATCACGAGCTGATGTTGGCAGAACTCTTAAATTTGCCTTGCAACCTGCCATCGGATCGCACCAGATTTGCATCCCACTGCAAACCACAGGCTTAAAGAGTCCTTCCATGAAGAATGAAAGGCTCCAGAGCTGCACAGTAGATGTGCATGTGCCCCGTTGCCTCAGTGTTGAACATCGCACAAGTTGACTTTGGCTGAGCTGGCACCTTGAAGCATTCGAAGACCGTCTTGTGCAGCACTGGCCTTCTTGCAAGAAGGCCCTGGAAAATGGAGGTACATGGACATCTTTGAGAGAAGGACCAGAGCTGAGCTTCTACACAGACGCTGACGGCTGTCAGACAGATTTCTCGCACCTGCCATGTCAGACACATTCACACCGTCCCCTTTTTGAGATAAGCGGGCACTTCAATACACCTTGGAGCGGTCAGCATCTGGCCGCAGCGTACTGACTAAATAGGATTGGATGACCTGAAACATTAAAGTTGCATGAGTAGAGTTTCGCTCGAGATCTTTCCGAAAGCTCTCACTGCCTGCGTTGTTCGCAGCTCAACTGCTCGCTGACCTTGAGGTTAACGAAAGCTGTGCACATCAATAGCGCTTCTGCCAGACTGACGCCAACCCAAGCTTAAGCCATATGCGCATTGCAGTTTGATGTGGAAAGTCAAGGAGAGGTGGGAGGTAACCGCGATGCCTTCATGTGAGAACACAGTCACAATCAACAAGCCAAATGGTTGCCAGGCTAGCTGAGAGGCAAGCAGCCCCAGAAAAACGGTTAGGGCTGCGGACCAGTCATTCCTGCATCATGACAGCAGACCTGCGACTGAGTCTGCACAAAACAAGGACTTAATTTTGCGTCCTGGACACCAGAGATTCAATGTGCTGTCCCCAACGACCAATCTGTAGACACCAGACCTGTTTGGCAACATCTTGGACATCCCACAGGCTGCTAACCCTTCCTTGGTTGCCTCCTTCATACCGCAAACATACAGCGTTCGGGACCGATTGCGAAGCCTGCAAGAATGCGTGCTCAGTTTTGGCATGCCCTGACAATGAGACACCTGTTGGATAGTGACCGAAGAAAATCAGGCCGAGAACCGCACACAGCCAAGGCACCATGATGAGAGCCTGAGATTACGGCAGAGGATATTTTCCTACTGACCAAAGACAAACTCAAGATGAAAAGCAGCTGAGCGGACTAGCGAATCTCTTTGCCGTCAGCGGTGCTGTGGAAAACCATGGACCAGTTCGTGACATCCTTCCAAGAATGCCAGTGCTGGAGTCTGCAAGCAGCCATGGCAGGCACGTCATGCGCGGGGAACGAACAGGATGGTGTTTGGCTTTGAACGTATTATGGCATGTTAAGATACCAAAGCATGAAGTGCTTCCATACTCATCTAAGACTTTAGGATCAAGAGCAGCCCAAGCGTCCAGTTGTCCACTCAACCGCTCTTAGGCAATCCTCGGCATGCACGGGTGACAGTGAAGTCGGCATGCTGGACCTCAGTGGAACAAGCATGAGCTCATACTAGATCCTGGAGGGACCTCTAGCGCCTGTGCAAACTGGAGGTTTTTGCAGCGTCACCCATTCTGACAGACAACAAGCCAAACCTGAACAGCGTTCCTTGCACACCTGTAGGGGAGATTTCTGAAACTGCTCAGATCCCAGCCCGCCGTCAGTTGCTGGAAGTTGCACCACACTGAGCCTTCCAAGTTGCAGGGCAACTTTGCCAAGGAGCCTTCAAAAGACTGCAAAGCTCCTGTTGGAAGCATCCAGAACAGCCAAGACCTTGCAAGCGCTGCATGGTGCACAGTACCGGAATCATCCTAACAAACTCTAATCCTGGGCCAAGCCACGCTCTCCTTGAAAGCGATAAGACCACGTAAAGGCGATGTCCAGGAGAAGCGACCTGTTCTAGACAAACGTTCGCTGCGTAAATCTTCAAAAGCGCATCTAGAGCCTGCAATAGAGACCTGAAACTCCTCTTTCCCATTACGCTCCACATGGGCCACACCTCGGGAACGGTGGGTACAGTACAGTAGTGCGGAGGCTCTTGGATCAAGTGGACAGAACCTGCACAACCATGGGGAGACGAGGGCATGGCGCATAAGGTGAATTGTCTGACCATAAGCAACACAAAGCTGAGGCGCAGCATCAACCTGCCAAGGACCGGAAAGCCTAGAAAGACTCACAAGTGGCGAATCTGTGTCCACCCACCTCTGAGGAATCTGTCATTTCCTGCGAGCAACTTCCACATGCAAACACAAACACTCCGAGACACCTCAAACATCGTCCTGACTTTCGCAACGCAGCCACGCTGCATCGGGAACCCAAGATGCCTGGGCGACTCTCGGGCAAGGATCCCAGTAACACCAATTTGGTCTCTTGCCCAAATACAGCTGCTACTGCATTCAGAACTTTGAAGCATGCAAAGAGAGATTTCAGGCAGCTGCATCTTTGGCGTTGTACTGCATCTTCTGCACAACCTCACCCGTTGCAGAGCTGGCTGCTGGCTGCAACTAGCTCGTAGCATTAGCATGCTTCCCAGCTACAGATGGTGTGATTCCCAACTGCCGTGCAACACATCAAAGCAAATGTAACTATTTGACTTCACACGGCCACCCTACAGCAGCTTTAGTTGATTAACTGATTGATTGGTTGATTGATCAAAGCCTCGCGGGTCAAAACGTGCCAAGGTGTGAGTTGCCACAACAGAGAAAGTTTAATCATCAAAAATGCTAACGGAGGCGTTCTGGTGGCGAATACTGGAACTTGCAATATTTGGAGTTCTAGATACAGCAGTTGTGTGTATTCAGAGGCTGCTCATACCACAAATGGCACCATTCTTCCAGTAAAACTACCACTGAAAAGACTATCAAAAATGATCCCAATGGCTCTCCCAATGGCTCTCAAAGACCGTAAATTGCAGTAATTATTTGGAATTTGCAAGGGATATGGCCACCCCACATTCAGATGCCGCACAAAGAAATTAGAAAAAACGGGATCTTCCTTGGCTGCTCTCATGATACTGCAAACTGCAACATGCGAAGCCGACCATTGTAAGTTGCAGTACCTGCTACTGCACAAAGTCTTTCTGACCGGGAATGGATTGGGGATGTGCTGTCGCGAAAGCAATGCAGCATCAGCGAGAGCGACAAAACAAAATGCGAAGAGAAATTCATCGCATGTACCAGCATGTACTTTGTTGAAGCAAGCTCAAGTAGACCTGTGTTTTAGCCTTCAGCCAAGCCCTGGCTGCGCTCCACAAATCGGACCAGGTTGTACCAGGGCAGCCTCGTGCTGCTGCCGGATCCAGCCTTCTCCCGCCTCTCCCTACCCTCTCCCCTACCCTGCCTCCCCCCTCCCCAACCCCCAAGGCTTGGCAGAATCTTCCCACAAATACTTGCTTTGCGATGTCTTGGCCTCCTTGCCAGCCCAGCTGCCGAGGCAGACGCATGTGTAGAATTAAGCAGTCTCCTGTTCGGAAGGTGCCTTCGTGTGCTTGCATTACACCTTCAAAAAAGTGGTATCCTAAAATCAAAATTGCGATTCAAATGCTCCCGCAGCCCTGCCTGAGCACTCGGATGTAGAGTAAGCAGAACAGTGGCGTTGCTCGCACAGAGTCCCACCAGGCAGCGAGTGTCTGCCTTCAGTGATCGTGGAACCGCGACCAAGGAGTGAGATCTTTGCCAGGCTTGCGGCTGGATGAGTGCGGCCCGAAACCTTGTTTCTTCCACGCGGCAGCATCTTGCAGAAATGCTTGACTTGGTTTACGTTGCGTGCCTGAACCAGCGGCAGAATGCGAAGAGTGACCTCACACCATGCTGCACACAACCATGCCATGACCCCAAATGTTCAGTCAAGCTGGGTGAGACGCCCCAATGTTGGAGGATTGCTCAATGAGCAACTGCTTCTCAAAATCCAGACCTGTAGCAATGCATTCAGCTTCTCATCTGAACGTGTTGCAGGAGATTACTGGGCAACAAGCGTCCAAACGTGCCAGTGAAGTAACTGATGAAGTACACCTCAACATGCAGCGAGGTGTGCAAGATGTCAGGGTTTTCTGCAATAGGCATCTTAGGCTGAAACTCCCCCCTTGGAGTCAGCTGACAGCGCGTACTGCCAGCCTGAAAGTTGAAGTGGAAGCTAAATCAGGACATACTGGACATGCGCGTCAAGATCCAGGATGGAGGCTGGGACGGCAGAAAGCCAATGCCATGACTGCACAAGAATGCAGCTCCTGCCTAGGCCAGCGCCAGGTTAAACAGACATGGAGTACAACCGGAAGCTTTTATGCAATCCTTAGCCTACAACACCTACTTCCACACTCGTTTCGTTTATTTTGATCAGCATTCATCAGCAAGGTGTCCCCATGATCCCATAAGCTTCCTGTAGCCGTTCCTATTGGGAATAAGCAAACAGGCCTGTTCATGCATACGTTTCAGTACATATTGGACAGGATTTGCACTACCAAGGTTCACTCTGCTTCTGAACGGTCTTTTACGCGACATGTTTTCAAATTCTTGAATTCAGACGCATGCAAGTCCGCGCTACTTATGTGGGTCTGAGAAACTATGATTTCTGGCAGCGGTCCTCTGCACTCGCTTAGATACTAGCAGTCTTCCTGCAAACTATTGTCACTTAGATGCTGGAGTGCTGCGAGCGTGTCCTTGGAACTGCAGTGTACGCAAAAAACTTATTCAGCTGTGGTGTTGCGCTGGCAGTCTGGCAAAGAGCCGTATGCCGTATGCAACATAGCCAGTACTTGTTTGCAGGTGCTCCAGGGGATGAGGGGTGACACAAGGTGTTCTTCGCAACGTTGCAAAAACCCTACTGGGCATGTTCGAGCTTGCTTTGTCCGACAGTGACAACCACGAGCTGCCTCATTTGCAGCAGACATCAGACTCAAAGTTTGTCGTGAGAGCTGTTTCCACCTTTCACCCAGCCCCCAAGTCAATGTGTCAAATACACCAGATGTGCCGCCCTAGAAAACGAGAAAATGTTTACGAGGACTTACCACTTCTGCTGTCCACAGGATTGCAAAGTTATATGCTAGAAGAACCTTTTACGCCCGCAGGCCCCGCTGACACGGGATCACGGAACAGGTGTCCTGATTGCATTCTGCTTTGCTCTCCCAGTGACACTCCCAAACTGATTGTACTGTGCAGTTCAATCTTAAGTTGCAAGTTGGGGAGTCGACGAGATGCAGGCTATCTTTGGCGCAGCCAAGTCCCACCTAGGCTTGCAAGACACCAGCTCAAGGCGTTTTTGCTTTCTGCACGGAGGGCATGTTCTGTCTGAGTTGCGCACAGTACGACATGGCCGCCTTTGTGTCCAACTAACCTCAGTTTGTCCGTCAGTGCCTCCGCACGTTTTCCAAGGGATCAAACTCTGAAAACTTCTACGAACCAGCAGCAATGCATTGTTGCACAGGACCCCAACCGTGAAAACAAGATGACATCAGAAACCGCAAGTTTGCCATCTGAGAAGTGTGCAAGCAGTGGTTGCAACACTAGGAGTGCACTTTGAGGAAACAGAACACACCTTGAGCTAAGAACACTGGCAAACCGTTCTAGGACCAGGGCAAGCTGCCACCATCTTGTGAGAAGGCAGCAGCCGTTACAGCCTGAGAGGCATGACTGCA